CAGGGTCAATCCTAAGGCCAAGTAGCCCTATAGGAACTCTTCTTGAGCTTCCCCCATAATGATCTTACCTACTAAATATTAGAGGTTAGGACCAATATGTGGAACTTCAAGTTGAGTAAAGAGAAGAGTTTTGAGTTTCTAATGGTGAGGGTACCCTTTCTAGTTTTCTAAGACTAGTTTATAGGAAAATCCTATGGCTAGACCTAGGCTACTAAAAAAATTTCTAGACCTCAACCAAAAGTGAGGTCAACAGTTATCTTGCAAATTGACTTGAAAAAGGCTATTGTAGAGACGAGATTGGATGTATCATTGAATGAAATCCCGACAGCCAATCAACAATCCCTTTTTCGTAGGTTTAATCCCTGCTGCCGAAACCCCAATCTATCTTCTCACTAGGCCGAAACACATGACAGACAAAACTCAAAATTTAGTCAAGCCTGAATTTTGAGTTTTCCCATATGCACTACATAAACTGTAATCAAAAGAAAATCACAGTTGTCTACTTCTGTGCAAACTTCTCTGCATCATTACATGTAGAAGTTTTCAGTTTACCTACATACACTACAAAAACTGCAATCAAAGAACCAAATTGTCTACTTCCCTTCAAATCTAGACCTCAACCAAAAGTGAGGTCAACAGTCTACTTACAGGCACTGCAGGAACTACAACCACTACTGTCTACTTACTTGCAAACTCCCCTGCAATATTATCTGTAGGAACCTTCTGCCTACCTACAAACACTGCATTAACTGCAGTCAAAGAAAACCGCAATACAAGATGAATACTTGAAGTTATACTTTAGAGGATCTTCCTCGCCCATCGTTTGATGTTTTGAAATTCAAGTTGAACATGATTTTAAACTATATTCAACTTGAGGGGGAGTGTTGGGAGTTATAATATGAAATAATTTATTCTTGTGAGAAATTATGAAGAATAAATTATTTTCTTGTATTAATGAGTTATTTCATTTCTTATTTTATATTTATTTTTTTTAATTATGAGCTAATTTCTTTTCTATTTTAGGTTTTCTTATGTTATGTTATTTATTTTATCTCCAAATAATTAATATGGTTTAATTATTGAAGATATTTGGCGACACAACTTTCTTTTTTATGTTATTTATTTTTATTATTTTTCCTATTATAGGATTCTTGTAAGAGTTACTTATACCACCGTTTATATCAATAAAATAATTTTGTATTCCGCATTATTCCAAATTTCAATAAAAATGTCATATCGTGCGACTCTCCTTTAATCCATATCGATTGCACACAACACAATAGCCCTGTTATGGTTTAGCTTATATATAAAATTTAAAGTTTAGACGACCACATATTCTCTTGTTTTCGTTTTAACTTCTCCCACTTCACATCTCTCCTTTACGACTGGTGTCGCGCTGGGAAAGCTCGATGAGGCGAAGCACATTCTAGTTCCCATGTAGGAAGTACGTTTTGAGCCAACACTAATTATTATGTGCAGATTATTATTAAAATATAATAAAATGCACAAAACAATTAATACGTGCGAAATATAACCAAAGTATAATAAAATTCACATGTACGAAATCCAAACATAATAATTTTTCTTAAGCCGGACATCATCATCTATCATACTCTCGTTCTTAAGCCCTCCTCACATAGGTGAGACACACACCTGCTCCTCAGAAAGTAGGAAGAAAAAGAAGAAGAGGGGATTTAATTAAAGTAAGATAAATGAGAAAATATTACTTGCAGTTGGTCGATCATCCAAATGAAGCCACACCAACGTGCACAGTTCATACATGGAGTTGCCATACACAAAGTAATATTTGTTAATGTAGGAGAACTATTAGGCATTTGTAGAGTAAATATTAGAGTTTGGGTGTTAGATAAGTCAATGTCAATGTTTAGATGATAACATGTACATCTCCTTTTTAAGTAACTAATAATGATGATATTATTTTAGAATATTATATGTATTTCAATATATGCACATACATTAATGATATATTAATGCGTTTGGTTAAATTTCACATGTATTAAAGCAAAATTAAGTGTATTTATTTAACAATATAAATGTGGCTAATTTCAATATTGCTTTCAGCACTAAAACAAAAAAGGTAAAACCAAATAAATACTTTAAAAATCAAATATTGGTGACTTTTATCATATTTTTTATACAAGAAAAAAATATATTTTATTCTTATAAGTTAAAATAATAATTATTTTTTTTATGAGATAAAAAATAATTTATGAATGTAACAAATAAAATTTAGCTGTTAGATGTGTAAATACACGAGGCTTGAGTGGTATGTTTCAAATGACCCTTTCATTTTATAAATATAAAATTTTATATGTTGTCCATGTAAATGTAGTTCCTGAAACGTTGAATTTTGGAATTGTCGGCCGGGGGGGCATGAATCTGTACGGATAGCTGTTTCTTCCTCCCGTCCAAATTCTCACCCCTTGTGTCGTTCTGAGCCCCGCCGGCCGCCGGCTAATCCCTTGATACATAAAATCCCTCGCTTCCTCTCCAGAGCTGTACGCCCTCATCGGCGTCTCGCTTACATCGATCTACCTTTCATCTTATTGACCTCCTTCCCCCCGCGATTGAATTCGAAATGATAGATCGGCGGGGCCCTGAGTTCCGTTGCCGATCCATGCCATTCATGAAGGATCCGTAGCGAACGAGGGCTTTTTGGAGTTCCACGGCTTGATTTTGCATCGTCTTTCTCTCTGTGAGAGAATGCCGGCGACGGGGTTCTCTTCGAAGCCGGAGAAGAAGGGGGATGCTGCGGCGAAGCAACAGCAGCAGCGGAGAGATCCCTATGAAGTTCTTGGCGTCGCTCGTAACTCCACGGATCAGGAGATCAAAAGCTCATATCGGCGAATGGCCCTCAAGTAAGCCTCCTAAATCTAGCCGTCTCGCTTTTTTAGACGGTGATTTGCGGGTTGTTTATTTTTTAATTTGTTTTTAGATCCACTTATTTGTACGCCACTATCATGTGAGAACAAGTTTTGTTAAGATTCCTGGTTCTTTGTTTTATAAAATAGCGTGTATGGGTTGATATTTTGATTAGTTGTTAGAGGTAATGTAGGTAAAAATTAAGGACTCGAAAATGGGTTTGGAGTGATTGGGTTCTTCTTCTTTGGTGCATCTGATATTGCTACACAGTCTGCTGAAAATCATTTAGTATGGATCCAACTTTGGTTCTCTCGTCGCTATTCAGTGCGTAGGTTAGCCTTTCGCGAGACATTGGCTGATAAGTGATAACCAAGTGAGGCCTTTGGCATCCATTGCAAGTTTTTTAGCACTCCAGTTGTTATTCATGTAAAATTTGGTTGATGTAGTCCCATATCTTGGTTTTGTTGCTGTTAGTGGCTTACCTCTACTGCTGCTCATGTGTATGTGGGATGGTGGTGTTCTTACGGCCCCCTTCTCCACCCCAGATTAGTTATTTGATAACCTTTCTATTTCTTAATTTTGCTACTTTCTTCATTTTTTATTTGTTTGTATCTTCTTCCTTGATGAGTTTGCTATAATATCAAGATTGTTTATGAGATTTTCTATAGCTATTGTATGTATCGTGGGAGTAACTATTGAATCACAAAGGATAGACCTTCCAAATTTATGATTGGAGACATCATCTCATAAAGGCAAAGGGGCGGCACTATGAAATTCTTATTGGAGCATAAGTTGATTGTTTTTTCTTTTTTTAAATTGAGAGAAGGGAATAAAAGTTGACTTTAAAAAAGTTATATATATTTAATTCTTTGATAAAGGCTGAAACTTGTTAAGTGAAAATAACATTAAAACATTAAAAAAAAAGGATTTTCATCACCTTGAATTATTTTAAGCTTTTTATCAGCTCCAAAATAAGGCAAGCAATCACAACAAAAGATTGCTGAATGACTCACCTAAAATAAATATTCATCCAATCATAATTAATTCTAAAAAAATCAAATTAAAATATTTACTTGATTCAACTAAATGAACTCAAAGAAGCTTGAGATTAATATGCTTTTTTATGAAAATGGTACTATGAAGTTTTGAAGGTTTGTTAGGAGCAAATATTATTCAAGCATGCATACCTGAATGTTTTAGTTCATTAGACATCTCATTCTTTGATTCATAATAATAAAATACCATCTCATTATTAGCTATTGGCCGAAATAGCGGAGGGAATGGCTCCTAGTGCGTCCATTGTGGATCTGCCCCTAGTCCATGGGCAAAGAACAGAATTTTTTTTGCAAGCTTAATCATTATGCTCTCATTCTGGCTAGTTCAATATGACACACACACACACACATATAATCATTTCTGCTTGTTGTGAGAGTAACCATCTTAATTTTGTTAATCTAAAGTTGCAAATGGCAGCATTCAATTATTTTTAAAAACAATTTTTTGCATATTGACTTGCCTGGGAACCAAAAAATAGATGCGAGTGAAAATTTTAGGAATTATCTGTTAAACAATATGAAGAGAAAATAATGATGCGTAGACTGACATATAATAATTCGTTTCAATATAACAAATTTCCATTGGAGTTTGAATAGCTAGTAAAATGATTGCTAAGTAGCGAAATGAAAGTTATAAATTTGGACAAATAGTTCTTATGCAATAGAGAATGATTATTGGAGCTATTATGGTCAGCAAATAATATGTTAAATGCATTGGAAAAATAAAATTGACCTATAATTTTGAATAACTTTTCATTTATTAAACAATGATTCAAATGCACAGTGCATGGAGTTGATCTAGATCATGCGATTTGTGATAGAATAAATACATTTAGCATTTTTTTTTACAGTGTGACCCACAAAAAAATGATTTTGGTTCAAAATAGGCTTACATTTATGTTAATCCCAAATAAAATTGATGACAAAAGAAAATGAAATGTAGAGGAATATACAAGGTTGTAGCTTCACGCAGATTGGTATCTTTTTAAATCATAAATTATGAAGTAGGGCATAGGGTCAATAAGATTGTTTTTTTCCGAATACATTGCAGCTATATTTCTATGAATCTTATATTTCTAATATGACAGAACAAAATTACATTCAACTAGGTTGAGTTGTTCGACCAATTTGGCAATTTATGTAAGCTTGATAAAACTCACAAGATCTATCTCCTTGGTAACGACCCATTTCTACTATCATGTGCGTGATTCCATCAAGTTTGGGGTCTAAAACTAAGCCCATTTTGAAAGCCATCAACAGCGCTGCTCAACTTTTTTCATAGAGCTGTGTACCATTTTAAATCAAATAAGGGAACATATATTTTTATCCATGCAAACCTTATTTAGGGATGTGGTTATGATATTGATGAAACCTATAAATGATTGTATATTTTCTAAAGTATAGAGGGTTGTATTATATCCACAAGGAAAAACACTAGTTAAATTAATTATAGAAAATACGTTGTAGAAGGAGTGGAATTTTGGATTTTATAAAGTGCATATGCTAAGAGGATTTTTAGTTACTCAATCTTTTTGCCTGCCTTTTTGTAAACGATAATCTAGGATTCCATAAGGGGCTGAGCCATTCATGTTTGCTTTATAGATTTCAGGAGATTGCACTTCCACATAAGGTAAAAAAACATGCTAATGGGGTTTGAAACATCATAATCTGATATCCAGTGAAAGTTATTATAAATTTCAAGATTATAAATCTATATTTGCACTACAAAAAAATGCTTAATATCTCTAAACAAACTAGTGCCCAATATGTTCATTTTGTTAATTTTCCAGCTCTATTCACTTTGTCTTACCACATAACGTATGCAACATACTTCTGCAAATTCCATTGTATTATGCTCACTTAACATATGAAAATACTTTTCAAGTTAGTGGAGATAACCTTGAACTTTTCTTAGATTATGCTAGTTATGTGTACAAATTTTTGAATTGTCTGAATTTGATAACCTAAAGGTGTCCAAACTGATGGCCACTCGTATTTTTGGAACTAACTTATTCGTAACAAATGAACCTAGACTTCAGATTACTATCAAATACAAAATAACGTGATGTTGACTCATAATAGCTATCATATAAAATATTTTGTCTGTTATAACAACAGTTTCACTTTCAGAAATAATCAAGCCAGCAGCTTCTCTAGATGAGCAATGTTGTTAGCATATGAACCTCTTTCTCAGCTCTCCCTCTCTCTCTTACACAGACACAATCACAGGGTTTGCAATTCATGTATTTAAGCCACTACAGCATTGGTTGCCATGAAAGCAAACCTATAGCTTGAATACTACATGGGAATCACAATCTATTTGAATAGAGGTATCTGTTCTCAGAAGTAAAAAAATCATTATCATGTTAATCACTTGATATTTGCCTTGTTAATTCTCTTAAAATCATTTATAACAAACGAAGCTGAACTTCAAATTACTGTCAAATATAAAATAACTTGACACCGACTCATAATAGCTATCATATAAAGTATTTTCTGTTATAGCAGCAATTTCACTATTAGAAATAATAAAGCTAGCAGCTTTTACTGTCAAATATAAAATAACTTGACACCGACTCATTATAGCTATCATATAAAGTATTTTCTGTTATAGCAGAAATTTCACTATTAGAAATAATAAAGCTAGCAGCTTCTCTAAATGAAAAATGTTGTCAGCATATGAACCTCTTTCTCTCTTACACATATTCTCAAAGGGTTTACAATCCTTGTATTTATGCCACAGTAGCATTGTTTGCCTTGCAAGCAAACCTATATCATGAATACTACATGACAATCACAATCTATTTGAGTAAAGCTATTTGTTCTTAAATGTAAAAAAAAAAAAAATCATTATAATGCTAATCATTTGATATTTGTTTTGTTGTTATTTGTTAATTCTCTCAAAAAGAAAAACATAGAACATCCAAACGGAGTGAATTTTTGAATTCCTTGGATGTTGCATAGGTTGAATTCTAGCCAATAGTCGTTCAACTAATAAAAAAATTCTTGATAGTTTTGAAGATTTTAAAACCTTAGAAATATGCATGTTCTGTCGAATTTCAAAGAAATTTGTAAATAGAGTAAAACACCTTAGTTTGGGATCTATTGCCCTAGTTTTCTTGGTTAACCATGGCTTGTTCTTTTTTATGGGAGATTGACTACATGATCATTAACTTTGAGGTATGTAATGTGCAAGTAATATTGGCTAAAATTTACTTTTTAAGGATACACGATCAATGAAGTATATGTTAACAGATTAGAATTATGTGCTTCATATAAAATAGAAGTTAAAGGGAAAAAATAGAAATTAAAGTCATATTACTTGTTAGAATGAGTGAAAGTTGCTGAGTTCTGCAAAACATCATTTTTAGGACAATGATACCTCTACATAGAAGTTCATTGTTCACTCTTCAATGTTCATCTTGCGCTAGATACACTAACTAGTGAGAATCTCATGTAGAGTTTTATCTTATTTCACTAATAACAAAAGAGTTTAAATCAACCAGCTTCTGACTCTACCTAAGAGGGATTGATCAATTTAAAGAAAAATTGAAATTTGAGTGTTACTTTTGACGTTTAGCCCCCTTCCCAAAAACCTTTTTTTTCTCGCTCTACAAGAGCATAATAAATGAACATAAAAGGCAGAGAATAATTGAGAGGTAATGGCCTGTAAGAATAATAAAGGGTCTTTTAAATTTAAACTCATTAACGTGCAATTTTTGTACATTTGCTACAATTAAGTGTAAGACATAATTAATTTAGG